AATGTATAATGGTATTTAGGGCATCATATGTTTTGTTAAAGAATACTATAAATATGTATATACTCACAACCTTAGAATATAACAAATGTGCAACAAATACATGGTGGGTAAATACATTTGTCAGGATGATGAACACGACTATGATGTACATGGCCCTACCTCAGGAGAAGAATCACAGTCTCCAAACACTTCAGCAAAGTCTGATGGGCTTTTCCTCAGAGTCTGGTCAGCAGGCAGTGTGTTGTCATTGTAAGATGACACGAAATTAAAGTCACTGGTTCTGGAACCTGTTGTCAGGTAGGCGTCATAATTGTAAGCGCTGCGTAAAGTTCCTGTTCCGTCAACATCTGCGTAATTAGGAGGGAGATAAGCGCTGGGGATGGCGACTGCTCCATCAAACAACAGTCTGGGCTTTCTCCTGCGACAAAACCTCACACCCAGGATGATGATGATGAAGGTGAGAAAAAAGGTGGACACGGACACCAGCGCGATGATCAGATAAGAGGTCAGTTTGGAGTTCTTCTCATCGTAAGAAATGTCCTTCAGTTCTGGCACCTCAGCCAAGTTATCAGAGATAAGTAAATACATGGAGCAGGTGGCAGAGAGAGAGGGCTGTCCGTTATCTTTCACTGACACAACAAGGTTCTGTTTCATGCTGTCAGACTCAGAAATGTCCCGCTGTGTCCTGATCTCTCCGCTGTGGAGACCAATAGTGAAAAGTCCCGGATCAGTGGATTTGACTATATGATAGGACAGCCAGGCGTTCTGTCCGGAGTCCGCGTCCACCACGATCACTTTGGACACCAGAGAGCCTCCGTGTGCAGCTTTGGGGACCAGCTCGGTCATGAAGGAGTTGCCCTCCGGGGCGGGGTACAGTATCTGAGGAGAGTTGTCATTCACATCCGATATGAACACACTGACGGTCACGTTGCTGCTAAGCGGAGGAGAACCGTTGTCTCTGGCCATCACGTGGACTTTAAAACTCCTGAACTGTTCATAATCAAATGACCTCACAGCGTGGATCACCCCCGTGTCTCCGTTAACAGACAGATAGGAGGACACCGGGGCATCGTTCACCTCACCGGGTAACAGAGAATAAATCACGGTACCGTTTTGTCTCCAGTCGGGGTCTCGAGCAGTAACGGAACATAAAGTGGAGCCAGATTTGTTGTTTTCAGTTACATATGCGCTGTAGGACTGCTCCTCAAACACAGGTGGGTTGTCGTTGATGTCTGCTACAGATAACTGAACAGTTTTAGAGGAGGACAGAGGGGGAGAGCCCTCGTCAGTGGCAGTGATTGTAATGTTGTAATTAGACACTAGTTCACGGTCCAGTTGTCCTGTGGTCACCAGAGAATAATAGTTTTTAATAGAAGGAACCAATTTAAAAGGGGCATTATTCCGAATGGAGCAGCGGACCTGCTGGTTATTTTCAGAATCTGCATCCTGCACGTTAATGATGCCCACCTCTGAACCTGGTGACACGTTCTCAGGGACTGGATTTGTGAGAGATTTCACATAGATTATAGGTATGTTGTCATTGACATCTGTGACGGCAACTGTAACCTTTGTATAAGACGACAATCCCAATCCGTCTTTTGCTTTAATGCGCAAATCATATGTCATCGCAGCCTCAAAGTCAATTGCACCATTCACTTTTATTTCTCCGATGTTACGGTCAATACTAAAAACTCTCTTTACATCTTCAGTCACGTGTCCAAATTCATACGTCACATCTCCGTTGACTCCCTCGTCTGCATCAGTAGCGCTCACTGTGACAACTACAGTGTCTACAGGAGAGTTTTCAGGCAGACTGGTTTTATAGACGGCCTGGCTAAACACTGGGGCGTTATCATTAGCATCCAGCACAGTGACGTGTATAACTACAGTACCTGATCTCTGAGGAGAGCCTCCATCTAAAGCTGTGAGGAGCAAATTGATCTCTTGTTGTTTTTCACGATCAAGTTCCTTTTCAAGAACAAGCTCTATTGTGTTTCCATCAACAGACAAAATGAAATTATCATTCTTTTTGAGGGTGTACTGCTGAACTGAATTATGTCCTACATCCGCATCGTGTGCCTCCTCTAGCACAAAACGAGCCCCCCTTAACGCTGACTCATGCATTTCCATATTTATTGATTCTTCTTTAAATTGTGGCGAGTTATCATTAATGTCTTGAACGTGTAGACTGAGCAGATGCAGTTCCAGGGGATTCTCCAAAACAATATCGCGTTTTATTACACACGACAGCTTTTCTCCACAAAGCTCCTCCCGGTCGATCCTGTCGGCAACAATTAAATCTCCGTTGCTGAGATTGATGTCACAATAACGTTTGCGGTTTCCTGTGGCATCAATGCGGATATTCCTAGTAGACAATTTACTCGATTCCAGGTTAAGATCCTTCGCTATATTCCCAATAACGGATCCACGCTTCATTTCCTCTTGAAAGGAAAAGCTCACGTCCCCATTCACGTGTTTCAACAATAGAAAAAAAACGAAGTAGCTCAGTCTGAGCTCCATCATGACGATGTGTGTTAGCAATGAAACGGTTTTCGCTAATATTGCAAATTCAACAGGGATCATCAGTAAAATCAAGAGAAAAACGATGTAACTCGGACTGCTTCCCCGGAACAACAGCAACTGAAAAATTACCCGTTCAGTTGTCTCCTGCCAAAGGGTGGAGATGTAATGTTTCACAGCCTGGCCAATAGCGACACCATGTGTTGAATAAAGAAATAGACTGTACATTTAAAACTTATAGTAGTAGTAGTTTTAATTATATGAAAGAACAAATGAGATATTCATCTGCGAAAGGGGTGATATCAAAAGCATTCCACTTTCCTGCACTGCCACAACACAATAAACAACATAAATGTAACGTGGACATATTTTTAAAGGAAAAAAAAGTTACGTCTTCTAATGAAACAATATTACGCAAACATATGTCTCTGACAGGTCACTGACCTGGTAGACTAAGGCACAGAGGAACCAAAACAAAATGTCCTCATAATGTATCGAGATGCAAAGACAAAGAGTAAAAGAACCAAACAATCAAATCTGTTGAAATGTGTGAAGATATCATCACCCCTTATAAAAGTAAGCATACTGATTACTGCAAAGGACTGCTCACTCAAATCACAGCCCAATGAAACAAAACGATAGACAGATAGATCCAAAAGTGAAAACAATAAATTAAATGATATGTTTGAAAAAGCGTGCTACATTCTCTCCGTATCTTTCCAAATCAGTTTCTTATTCAGAGTACACCAAAAGCATGCCGGCACAAAGATGGGAATAAGTAAGGAAACTAAAATGCGTAGTTATCGGTCTACAGGGCACGTCTACAAGACAACATAAATAACTGCCTTACATTTGTAATAATAAACATACAAGTTGCACCCTGAACAATGGATGGCAGATATTCTCCAAGTTATAACAGACCAAGCCTCTGACCCTATCAGGCTTTACCAATGTTGTAATTTTTTTCTTTGAGAAAAAAGTTGTATCTGATGTAGGTTCCCATATCATTTCTATTATTGGCTAATTTTGTATGACGAAAAAAGCAAACGGTCAGATACAAATATTGCCTTATGAGAGATTTATTAAAAACCTGTTTACTGAAAGGGCGAAAGGTCCATACCTAAGCAGTAGAACATCTCTGAACAAATGTAAGAAGTTACATTGCTATTGTAACAACCGATTCTTGAAGAAAAATACATACATTTCACGACATGTTGTTGTTGCATCGATAGGATGTGTTTGGAAAGTTGAGGAAAAAATGTAGCACTTTGAAAGAAAAGGTTAACTCTCTGGGTACACTTCAAGATCTGTGGCTGTGCGTATATATACCTCTAAACACTCAAAAGAAAAAAATGCTTCTGTAATAAGCAGGGAAGAAAATTGAAGCCACCTCAGGATGATGACCACAAATGTAATGATGTGGGGTGTGTCATTGGTCCATATCAAATATATATAGCAGCTTTCCCATGGCACTAACATACGACATATGATAACTTTGCCCCCTAGCGATTTAAAAGAATAGCAACAAAAGGTGGGGATGAATTCAAGTCAAACTGTTTCCAAAACCATACAAAATAATTATTGGCTTATCCAACTAGACATAAAACAATCACTAAGAGGTGAACCGCATCTTATTGTGTACTTTTAACATGAAAGCTTTGATATCCCTAAATGTTGTCCCTAACTCAAACATATAACTGCTCAGTTTCCCTCCCTTGATGTACTTCCTTCCCTTTTCCACCTTAATGGGTTGAGATGGGATTATTTCAAGTTAAGACAATGTTTTTAAATATCTTCTTGTATAGTGGTTTTCAAACAATATTTTAATTGTTCCGATTGAAGAAAAACACATGTAAACTAAATATGTGAGCAGTATTATCAATTAAATTAAACCTGAAGGGTCCTTTGAGTATCAAATATACATTGAAGCAATGTGTGCCTCCAACTATATGACCAAAAACGTTTTTAATCAATATTACTGCATGTTAATGAATACAGATCTAATGGACTAATAATTACTCAACTCTGCTCTACAGTGTTTCAATATCAATGAGAAGTAATCACCTCCAATGTATATTAAAAAGAAGTAACTACGATAACGTCAACATTGAATAACAATGAGAAAATGCAATATCACACCAAGTTTGATAAATTAAACTAAAAAAGGAAATCAAAACAAAATATTATATATTTTGTAACTTAGCCAGAAAAATATAACTTAATGTAAACTCGATTTCAGAACGATGGACAGAGATAACGGAATGTAATGTAAGAATTACTGCATTATAAGAGACAATAATTATGTGGAGATGAAGGCAACTTACTTGAAGGCAAGTTCAACAGGAAATAGATTCCACAAAATGTACCACATAATGACATCTAACTAATTTAGGCATATGTTTTTTTTAAAGAATACTAGACTATTTACTCAAAATAGAAGTGGTGAGTAAATACAACTTTCTATAACATAATGAACAGGACTATGATGATATGATACATGGTCCTACCTCAGGAGAAGAATCACAGTCTCCAAACACTTCAGCAAAGTCTGAAGGGCTTTTCCTCAGAGTCTGGTCAGCAGGCAGTGTGTTGTCATTGAAAGATGACACGAACTTAAAGTCACTGGTTCTGGAACCTGTTGTCAGGTAGGCGTCATAATTGTAAGCGCTGCGTAAAGTTCCTGTTCCGTCAACATCTGCGTAATTAGGAGGGAGATAAGCGCTGGGGATGGCGACTGCTCCATCAAACAACAGTCTGGGCTTTCTCCTGTTACAAAACCTCACACCCAGGATGATGATGATGAAGGTGAGGAAAAAGGTGGACACGGACACCAGAGCAATGATCAGATAAGAGGTCAGTTTGGAGTTCTTCTCATCATAAGAAATATCCTTCAGTTCTGGCACCTCAGCCAAGTTATCAGAGATAAGTAAATACATGGAGCAGGTGGCAGAGAGAGAGGGCTGTCCGTTATCTTTCACTGACACAACAAGGTTTTGTTTCATGCTGTCAGACTCAGAAATGTCCCGCTGTGTCCTGATCTCTCCGCTGTGGAGACCAATAGTGAAAAGTCCCGGATCAGTGGATTTGACTATATGATAGGACAGCCAGGCGTTCTGTCCGGAGTCCGCGTCCACCGCGATCACTTTGGACACCAGAGAGCCTCCGTGTGCAGCTTTGGGGACGAGCTCGGTCATGAAGGAGTTGCCCTCCGGGGCGGGGTACAGTATCTGAGGAGAGTTGTCATTCACATCCGATATGAACACACTGACGGTCACGTTGCTGCTGAGCGGAGGAGAACCGTTGTCTCTGGCCATCACGTGCACTTTAAAACTCCTGAACTGTTCATAATCAAACGTCCTCACAGCGTGGATCACCCCCGTGTCTCCGTTAACAGACAGATAGGAGGAAACCGGGGCACCGTTCACCTCACCGGGTAACAGAGAATAAATCACGGTACCGTTTTGTCTCCAGTCGGGGTCTTGAGCAGTAACGGAACATAAAGTGGAGCCAGGTTTGTTGTTTTCAGTCACATATGCGCTGTAGGACTGCTCCTCAAACACAGGTGCGTTGTCGTTGATGTCTGCTACAGATAGCTGAACAGTTTTAGAGGAAGACAGAGGGGGAGAGCCCTCGTCAGTGGCAGTGATTGTAATGTTGTAATCAGACACTAGTTCACGGTCCAGTTGTCCTGTGGTCACCAGAGAATAATAGTTTTTAATAGAAGGAACCAACTTAAAAGGGACGTTTTGCTGAATGGAGCAACGGACCTGTCCGTTAGTCTCAGAGTCTCTATCCTGCACGTTAATGATGCCCACCTCTGCACCAGGTGACACGTTCTCAGGTATGGGGTTAGTCAGGGATTTTAAATATATTACAGGGGCGTTATCATTAATATCTGTTATTTCAATCAACAACGTTGCATATGATGCCAGCCCAAGACCATCTTTAGCACTAATCTGCATTTCATAAGACGATTCTTTTTCATAATCAATATATCTTGCCACTTTAACTTCTCCCGTTTTAGGGTCCAGAGAGAAAACTTGGTTTTCATCTGACACATGATCAAACCCGTAGGTTACTTCACCATTTATTCCTTCGTCTGCATCAGTTGCACTTACTCTGATCACCAATGTATCCTGAGGAGAGTTTTCAGGCAGACTGGCTTCATATACGGCCTGACTAAACACTGGGACATTATCATTAGCATCCAGCACAGTGACGTGTATGACTACAGTACCTGATCTCTGAGGAGAGCCTCCATCAAACGCGGTAAGCACAAACATAATCTCTTTTTTTCCCTCTCTGTCTAATTCTTTGTCTAAAACTAATTCACCATATTTTCGATCACCACCTTTTGTCTTTACGTTTAGTTTGAAATGGTCATTCTCCTGCAGTGTGTAGCTCTGCACAGCATTTTCTCCAATGTCTCCATCGTGTGCCTCGTCCAATTGAAAACGTTCACCCTTGTCTGCCGATTCCCTAATTTCAAAATGAAGAGACTCCTCTTTAAATTGCGGTGAATTATCATTAATATCTTGAACGCGAATATTTATACGGTGCAGTTCTAGTGGATTTTCCAGCACGAGTTCCTGTTTTAAAACACACGATGCCTTTTTTGCACAGAGCCCCTCTCTGTCAATCCTTTCTTGTACGATCAAATCTCCGGTGTTGAGATTTACACCGCAGTACTTAACGACATTATCTTCGGTATCAATACGGGCCTTGCGAGCAGACAATCTGCCCAAATCAAGTCCAAGATCTTTAGCGATATTTCCAATTACAGATCCACGTTTCATCTCCTCCGGGATAGAGTAGCTCACGTCTCCATAGCCTGGGTGGAGGCCGAGAAAAATAAAAGCAACGCCGTAGAGCAGCGCAAATCTGCTGCATCCCATTGTTACTGCAAGTAAGAACTGCTTCCAAGTTTGTCCCAAATCAATCAAGAATACAGCTGCGATTTCGTCCAATATACACACTCTTCACACTGCGTTCATATCACGAAGCGTTTTTGTAAACCACGGTACAATAGCATAACCAGGCTTTAAATGTGCTGAGACCGGAGGGTGGAGAATGACTGTGCCCTCTCGTGTACTGGTACACACTGACACCATGAGTACTTCCCGGGTACAACATGGTGAGGTAGGATTTGATCGTGTTTACATATAGATACTAAGAGAACCACGTTAGAAATGACAACAACAATGACGATAAATATAAAAAATAATACATAAACATTAACTATAGTCTCGTAGCCCTTGGGACTAACAAACGATACAACATATGATTACTTTGCCCCCTAGACATTTAAAACAATAGCACAGAGTGAGGATGAATCCAACAATAATTATTGGCTTGACAAATTATAGACATTAAACAATCACTAACAGGTGAACCGCTTCTTTATATGTTTACTTTTACGTGTCATTTTAACATATTGCCTTAAATGCTTTGATATAAACTCAAACAAGAAACTGGTCAGTTTTCCGTCCCTTGATGCAATTATTTCCCATTTCCACCTTAATGGGTTAAGATGGATCATTTAAAGTTAAGACAATGTTGTTAAATATCTTCTTGTATAGTTTTGGTCACCCACTATTTAAATTGTTCTGATTGCAAACATATTTAAAGTAATTATTTCAGCAGTAATATCAATACAATTAAATCTAGGGTCATTTGACTTTAAAATACTATAAATTGAAGCAATGTGTGCCTCCAACTACATGACAAGCTTTAATAATCACTATTAGTGCTGCATGGTAATGAATGCAGATCTAATGGACACATGACTATACTTCAGAATGTATGGGCAACTTACAGGGGACCAAAACATCTGACATATTTCTCCCAAAAAGAAAGAAGTTTTATGTGCTTTAATCTACATTGTCTAAAAATAAAAGCTGATTTAACTCCTAAATTGTATATCTACAGACAGGCTGCACAGCTTTTAATACAATCAGTAGAGCAATGCTATCATTTCAAATGTTACATTAGAGAAGTGAAATGCAGGAAACAAGAAATGTAATGTTAAGAACAACATTTAAAGGTGTTCTGCATGTCGCTTTATAAAAAACGTGGTTCAAATGTTTTGTATTTAAATAGAGAAATTATTCTTTGTCCCTCTCTCGCGCACTTTTTTGTACTCTATTATTACTGGCGAGAAAGGTTTATAGCAATGATAAATATGCCTTAAGATATATACCCCAAAAACTGGCATAAAGCAGATCTTGAGATTTATAAATGTATTCTAGAAGATCAAAATGTATTCAAAGCACCTCAGTTTGAGAGTGCAAGTCAATGAAACAGTTTTGTAATTAGGTTTTCATTATGCAATAGAAGAAAACATTTAAACGAAATCATAAAAAAGCCTTTAAAATGATCCACCAAATTACGTCAGTGTGTATCAAATTGATTTAAGACATAACACATTAAAAAGCAAAACCAGCATAATTGAAAAACACCACAAATGAACAATATACTCAAGCAGAATAAGGGACAACATATGCAAAACCTTCAACGTATTAGTGCTCTAGCACAGTGTCCCAATATCAATCAGAAGTAATCAGCTCCAATTATAAAGAAGAAACCACGATTCAATCAAATAAATACAATGATACTAGTAAATGTTGAGATAAAATATCATTCAGAAAATGAAATATATAACCAATTTTACATAAAGTAAACTCAAAAAGAACATCAAAAAAATAGGTATAATATAGAAGTAAATTAGTCCTAAAAAAACAAGTGAATAACAAACCGATTTCAGAACCATGGACAGAGTTAAGTTAACGTGATTTCAAACGATTTATATAGCATGATGGGCAATCATGTGGGAAGATAAAAGGCAAGTTAAACTGAAGATACATTCCTAAGAAATGACCATATAATGATAACAAGGGCATCATATGTTTTGTTAAAGAATACTATAAATATGTATATTTACTCACAACTTTAGAATATAACTCTGCAACAAATACATGGTGGGTAAATACATTTTTCAGGATGATGAACACGACCAAGATTATATGATACATGGCCCTACCTCAGGAGAAGAATCACAGTCTCCAAACACTTCAGCAAAGTCTGAAGGGCTTTTCCTCAGAGTCTGGTCAGCAGGCAGTGTGTTGTCATTGTAAGATGACACGAACTTAAAGTCACTGGTTCTGGAACCTGTTGTCAGGTAGGCGTCATAATTGTAAGCGCTGCGTAAAGTTCCTGTTCCGTCAACATCTGCGTAATTAGGAGGGAGATAAGCGCTGGGGATGGCGACTGCTCCATCAAACAACAGTCTGGGCTTTCTCCTGCGACAAAACCTCACACCCAGGATGATGATGATGAAGGTGAGAAAAAAGGTGGACACGGACACCAGCGCGATGATCAGATAAGAAGTCAGTTTGGAGTTCTTCTCATCATAAGAAATATCCTTCAGTTCTGGCACCTCAGCCAAGTTATCAGAGATAAGTAAATACATGGAGCAGGTGGCAGAGAGAGAGGGCTGTCCGTTATCTTTCACTGACACAACAAGGTTCTGTTTCATGCTGTCAGACTCAGAAATGTCTCGCTTTGTCCTGATCTCTCCGCTGTGGAGACCAATAGTGAAAAGTCCCGGATCAGTGGATTTGACTATATGATAGGACAGCCAGGCGTTCTGTCCGGAGTCCGCGTCCACCGCGATCACTTTGGACACCAAAGAGCCTCCGTGTGCAGCTTTGGGGACCAGCTCGGTCATGAAGGAGTTGCCCTCCGGGGCGGGGTACAGTATCTGAGGAGAGTTGTCATTCACATCCGATATGAACACACTGACGGTCACGTTGCTGCTGAGCGGAGGAGAACCGTTGTCTCTGGCCATCACGTGGACTTTAAAACTCCTGAACTGTTCATTATCAAATGACCTCACTGCGTGGATCACCCCCGTGTCTCCGTTAACAGACAGATAGGAGGACACCGGGGCACCGTTCACCTCACCGGGTAACAGAGAATAAATCACGGTACCGTTTTGTCTCCAGTCGGGGTCTCGAGCGGTAACGGAACATAAAGCGGAGCCAGGTTTGTTGTTTTCAGTCACATATGCGCTGTAGGACTGCTCCTCAAACACAGGTGGGTTGTCGTTGATGTCTGCTACAGATAACTGAACAGTTTTAGAGGAGGACAGAGGGGGAGAGCCCTCGTCAGTGGCAGTAATTGTAATGTTGTAATTAGACACTAGTTCACGGTCCAGTTGTCCTGTGGTCACTAGAGAATAATAGTTTTTAATAGAAGGAACCAATTTAAAAGGGGCATTATTCCGAATGGAGCAGCGGACCTGTTGGTTATTTTCCGAATCTGCATCCTGCACGTTAATGATGCCCACCTCTGAACCAGGTGACATGTTCTCAGGGACTGGATTTGTCAGAGATTTCACATAGATTATAGGTGTGTTGTCATTAACATCTGTGACGGCAACTGTTACCTTTGTATAAGACGACAATCCCAATCCATCTTTTGCTTTAATACGCAAATCATATGTCATCGCAGCCTCAAAGTCAATTGCACCGTTCACTTTTATTTCTCCGATGTTACGGTCAATACTAAAAACTCTCTTTACATCTTCAGTCACGTGTCCAAATTCATACGTCACATCTCCATTGACTCCCTCGTCTGCATCAGTAGCGCTCACTGTGATAACTACAGTGTCTTCAGGAGAGTTTTCAGGCAGACTGGCTTTATAGACGGCCTGGCTAAACACTGGGGCGTTATCATTAGCATCCAGCACAGTGACGTGTATGACTACAGTACCTGATCTCTGAGGAGAGCCTCCATCTAAAGCTGTGAGTAGCAAATGGATCTCTTGTTGTTTTTCACGATCAAGTTCCTTTTCAAGAACAAGCTCTATTGAGTTTCCATCAACAGACAAAATGAAATTATCATTATTTTTGAGGCTGTACTGCTGAACTGAATTCTGCCCTACATCCGCATCGTGCGCCTCCTCTAGCACAAAACGAGCCCCCCTGTCTGCCGACTCTTGGATTTCTATATTTATTGATTCTTCTTTAAATTGTGGCGAGTTATCATTAATGTCTTGAACGTGTAGACTGAGCAGATGCAGTTCCAGGGGATTCTCCAAAACAATATCGCGTTTTATTACACACGACAGCTTTTCTCCACAAAGCTCCTCCCGGTCGATCCTGTCGGCAACAATTACATCTCCGTTGCTGAGATTGATGTCACAATAACGTTTGCGGTTTCCTGTGGCATCAATGCGGATATTCCTAGTAGACAATTTACTCGATTCCAGGTTAAGATCCTTCGCTATATTCCCAATAACGGATCCACGCTTCATTTCCTCTTGAAAGGAAAAGCTCACGTCCCCCTTCACGTGTTTCAACAATATAAAAAAAACGAAGTAGCTCAGTCTGAGCTCCATCATGACGATGTGTGTTAGCAATGAAACGGTTTTCGCTAATATTGCAAATTCAACAGGGATCATCCAGTAAAATCAAGAGAAAAACGATGTAACTCGGACTGCTTCCCCGGAACAACAGCAACTGAAAAATTACCCGTTCAGTTGTCTCCTACCAAAGGGTGGAGATGTAATGTTTCACAGCCTGGCCAATAGCGACACCATGTGTTGAATAAAGAAATAGACTATTTAAAACTTAAACTAGTAGTAGTAGTTTCAATTATATGAAAGAACAAATGAGATATTCATCTGAGAAAGGGGTGATATCAAAAGCATTCCACTTTCCTGCACTGCCACAACACAATAAACAACATAAATGTAACGTGGACATATTTTTAAAGTAAAAAAAGGTCACGTCTCCTAATGAAACAATATTACGCAAACATATGTCTCTGACAGGTCACTGACCTGGTAGACTAAGGCACAGAAGAAGCAAAACAAAATGTCCTCATAATGTATCGAGATGCAAAGACAAAGAGTAAAAGAACCAAACAATCAAATCTGTTGAAATGTGTGAAGATATCATCACCCCTTATAAAAGTAAGCATACTGATTACTGCAAAGGACTGCTCACTCAAATCACAGCCCAATGAAACAAAACGATAGACAGATAGATCCAAAAGTGAAAACAATAAATTAAATGATAT